CTGTTATTCCAACTATATCATATTTACCTTCATGTATTCGTAGTTCAGGTTCACCCTGCTTGTTCCCCAGACTTGGTGCATTTGTATATAGGCACTTGAGATCTTTATGTCTGACACTGTGTTTCCTGTCTCCATAACCTGTGTTGTGCCTGCCTGCCCCTACTTTCTTGCCACCTGTTTGATTAGTGCACTTGGTATGGCACTCACTATTAAATGCTTGGTTTTGGTTGGCATCAAGGTTGATAATCTTACCTGCACAAACCTCTATTTTGCATGCACTGGTATCCTTATCAGTTTTAGGTTGCTGGGGACAGAGATGTTCTGAATCCATTAATTCTCTGTCCCCGCTGTTCAGTTTAAATGTTTATCCAGGAAATCTGTGAATTTAATGCCAAGTAACTCAGTCCCTTTCTTTGATGGGTGCAAACCATCTCTTTTGTAGTTTTTCATTGGACCAGCTGCAGACACCATGACTAATAAAACCAAAGCCTTCCCTTTGACACCACTCCTTTAGCCACACATTAAACTCTGCTACACGCTGCCCTTTCCCTTTTGGTTCCTTGTACACTGGTAGAACCTCTGAAAAGATGAGCCTGCAGCCCATATTGCTAAGTTCATGCTCCAAGCTCTGGAAGTCTTTCTGAAGTTCATGCTCCAAGCTCTGGAAGTCTTTCTGAACAGAAAGTACATCCTTCTGCAGCCATCTCCCCCTAACCCAGCCCCCTTCCTCCCGAAAGGCTGGGTGCTGCCCTTGCGAATCATGCTCAGGACAGAGAACAGATCATCAGAGTTGGAAGGGACCTTGGAGGTCATCTAGTCCAACCCCTCACCCAAGCGGGAGACCCTACACCATTTCTGACAGAGGGCAGTCCAGTCTCTTCTTGAAAGCCTCCAGGGATGAAGCTCCCACAACTTCTGAAGGCAACTTCTGTTCCATGGGTTGATTGTTCTCACTGGCAGAAAATTCCTTATTTCAAGATCAAAATCTCTCCTGGATCAGTTTCCATCCATTATGCCTTGTCTGGCCTTCGGGTGCTTTAGAAAACTAGTTTGACCAAATAGGACAAGTTCCTAGTTCCTAGCCCATTTTCCCACTGAGGAACAGAAAGAAAGAAAGAATGAAAAAAGTCAATGTAAATCCTGCAATCAAGATCAAATGAGGTATTAATGCCACTCTACAAAGCCTTCGTAAGACCAGTTTGGTCACCACACTATAAAAAAGAGGTTGAGACTCTAGAAAGAGTGCAGAGAAGAGCAACCAGGAGGATGAGGGGACTGGAGGCTAAAACATACGATGGACGGTTGCAGGAACTGGGCCTGGCTAGTCCAGGGAAGAGAAGGACCAGGGGAGGCAGGAGAGCAGCCTTCCAATATTTGAGGGGCTGCCCCAGAGAGGAGGAGGAAGGGGGTCAAGCTATTCTCCAAGGCACCCAAAGGCCAGACAAGGAATAATGGATGGAAAGTGAACAAGGAAAGATTCAACCAGGAAATAAGGAGTAATTTTCTGACATTGAGAACCATCAACCCCTGGAACAGAAGTTGCTTTTGGAAGTTGTGGGAGCTTCATCCCCGGAGGCTTTCAAGAAGAACCTGAACTGCCATCTGTCAGAAATGGTGTAGGGTCTCCTGCTTGGGCAGGGGGCTGGACTAGATGACCTACATGGTTCCTTCCAACTCTGTTAATCTGTATCTGTAAACAAAAGATTTATCCAGGGTTTCCAATGGTTCCTTGGGAATCCGACTGGGTAAATTCTTCTTCCTTGGTGCTCTTCGAGTTTAGTGGTTTTCTTCTAGATCTTTCATGACCCAAACCTAGGTAACATCCGATACAGATTAGGGACCTTGAAGGTCATCTAATCCAACCCCCCCACCCCAAGCAGACCTTACACCATTTCTGACAAATGCCAGTCCAGTCTCTTCTTGAAAGCCTCCAGTGGTTGGCTGTTCTCACGGTCAGAAAATTCCTCCTTATTTCCAGGTTGAATCTCTCCTGGTTCAGTTTCCATCCATTGTTCCTTGTCTGGCTTTCGGGGGCTTTGGAAAATAATAGCTTGAGACCCCTTCCTCCTCCTCTCTGGGGCAGCCCCCCAAATATTGGAAGGCTGCTCTCCTGTCTCCCCTGGTCCTTCCCTTCCCTAGACCAGCCAGGCCCAGTTCCTGCAACATTGTCAGTGCTGTGGGGAGGGGGAGGAGGAGGATTGTCAGGGTCCCTGCACACACCAGGGCTTCCCAGCTTTCCCTGCCTCCCTACTGGGGACCAAGGCAACCCCCTTCCCAGGAAATCCGCCTGGTGCTCTCTTCGTTTGTTCGTGAGCTCCTTCCGTCTTGGCTGGACCGAGGTGGGGATCCCTCGCGGAGACCCCGAAGGCCAAGGGCGCCCCTCCCTTCCCTTGCAGGCCCATCAGGACCTGTCGAGTTTCTTCATCTTCAGCATGGTGTCCAGCTTTTGGGTCCTGGTCAGCAACCTCTGCAAACGCCGTCTGATCATCAACCACATCCGCCAGTACTACCAGTTCTACATCCGAGGCATCCTTTGGCACGAGGGGCCCCTGCACCAGATCTACGTCCGGCTGGTCAGCCAGCGAGATGGTACCAGCCCGGGATCAGGAGGGGCCTGGGGCCCTTGCGCCCCCCCCCTCCTAGGGCGAGGCCCTTTTCTGAAAGTCCCCTGGGACGTCAGCCTTTCCCACCCAACCCTCCCCCATCTTGGCTTCCCTTTGGGTCAAGAGTTGGGCGGCTCCTGGCAGGAAGTGGCCACTCTGGACTCCAAGTTGCGCCGCAAAGTGTCTGGCCGAGGCCTCCAACTCCCCAAAAAGCCAGCCCTAGAAAGAGAGGAGGTTTTGGGGGAATCTAAGGCATCACAGCCAAGGCGATGTTTTGGGCCTGCAATACTGAGCAATACATGAAGTTTGCTTGTGGTCGGGTTTTGCACAACGGGCTCAACTGAGCCGTGGGAGACCAAGTACAACGGGCTAAGCTTTGTGAGCTGTTGGATTGTTTTCTTCATTTATGGCTGGTTTAATACGAGAGTCTCCAAGCTTGGGAACTTTAAGGCTTGTGACAGGGGTGGGCTGCTGGGGGCTCAGAGAGCCCCCAATAGCCTCAGAAAGACAAGCAGCCAGGGAAAGCTCTTCATAGGCTTAATTGAACTTCTGGGCATTCAGCCAAGAGAATTTCACACCTCATAAAAGTGTTGCAAGCTAGATAAACAATCCACTCAGTGCTTGCCAGGGAGAGCCCTTGAGAAAATCAGGTAGCCATTCATTAGCTTCCAAGGGGATTAATTTGCAAACAATAAGAATCACATAACTCCCCAGAGACTCCACTAACTCCAAGATCTCTCTCATAGTCACTGCTATTACACTTGGTTTCACCCAGTCTTTTATTTAAGTATTAAATTAAATGCATGAAATAATAAACCACTTTTTGGTATATTATCTTTCTTTAGGTAATTAGGGCAAAGAAGTGACGTTGAATTGGCCACACCCATCCAGTCACATGACCACCCAGCCAGTCACTAAAAAATTTGAAGCCCACCCCTGCTTGTGTATTCTGGGAGCTTTGCTGGCTGGGGAATTCTGGGAGTTGAAGTCCACAAGCCCTAACATTGCCAAGCTTAAACCCCTCCCCCCACCCCCCACCCCCCCCATTTAGCACATGGCAGGAATCCAGGTTAGCCTGTTAAGGCAGCATATTGTCTAAACCTGGAAAATGAATTAACAGATTAAGTCACCGGCATGAATGAACTGAAGCAGTTTGCTGACCAAAGCATAGCAACCAGACTCACAAGCTACCTTGAGTCATCAATCCCAACCACCAGTGGCTTTGGGGTTGTGCGGATCAGTCCAATCCAGAAGCACCCATAGAATCATTTGTGTGTGTGTGGGGGTGTCTATTTTTAGTCCCTCTGTTTTGAGCCATGGTTGAACGTTACTCCCACAATCATTAAGCTGCCACACCTCCAGTCAGTGAAAGGGGCTTGGATGCCTCTGAAGGGTCTTGGTGTCTTTGACCAAGGGGTGGCTGAGAAGACCTTTGCTGGGAAGCATGGAACCACCTGTCAAAGGTCCAGGGCCATCATTTTCCTCTTCCCCTTCCAGCCCATGGAAAGCTTTTCTACAGCCTCATCATCAACGGGTACCGCCTGGAGGTCCTCACCCTGGTCCGTTTGACCAAGAACCATGAGGTGAGAGCTGGGAAGAAGCAGGAGGACCAGGGGAGGGGCTGCTCCCTGGGGCTGCAGGAGGGTCAAGGCAGAGGGCTGGAAGTCCATCTCCTCCCCGATCCTCCCAGCATCCGGCAAGCTGGCCTCGCTCCATCCTGAAGGATGCGCCATTTTGGGTTGTGGAACCTTCCTCCATCTGACTGACCATCCATCATCATTATCTCTATCTAATCTATCTATCCATCTCTATCTTTCTGTCTATCTATCTACCATCTATCTGTCAGTCTGTCTGTCTAATCCATCCATCTCTATCTACCCTCTATACCCATCCATCCATCCAACCATCCATCCGTCTCTTTCTCTCACTATCATCTATATCCATTTCTTTCTATCTATCTATCTATCATCTATCTATCTATCTATCCATCTTTCTATCCATCCATCTCTCTCTCTCTCTCTCTCTCTCTCTCTCTCTCTCTCTCTCTCT